TTTCATCGAACATCTATGCTTCACCTGAGATAACCTGTATCTAACATTACATCTTGAATCGTTGATGGTCCTGATAGTCCCTTGGTCGAGTCTTCTCTTAATGTACACTTATTGAAGTCAACACCTCCGCAAAATTCAAAGTTAGATTAGAATTTCCCATCCATCCCCAACTGAAAAGTTACGCTAGAAATGAGAAGAGAGAAGCAAAAAAGGAAATTCAAGATTGAAAAGGAATTTAGGGTTTATAATGAAATTGAGGATTGTGTTGCAAGTTTTAAAAGTTGGGGGACCTACATGCAAGTGCCTAAAAAGTTCAGTGACAATATTACAAATGTACTAACGGCAGTTAACGGCGTCAAACGACCAGTTACGTCGGGGACCATATTGAAAATGGACTAAATATTGGAGGACTGTATTACAAGTTTTAAAAGTTAGGGGACCTAAATGCAAGCTTCAGAAAAGTTCAATGACCATTACTATACTTTACCCTTAAATTTTAAACTTTAAATTCTAAAATATTTTAATTTAGGGTTAGAATGTAATTAAAGTATTTTTGAATTTGAGGTTTAGAATGTACTTGAAGTGTTTTGGAATTTTGAACATGAATTTGCTATTTGACAGTGTTTACTTCAATATAATTTTGAGGTTTGTTGCATGCACATCCAACGACTGCTGCATTCTGAACATAAAAAGTGCACCTATCACGTTTATTGCATAAACCGTTGAAGTAAAAGTAACAAGGCCAATTTGTCTTGTTCGTTGCTGCCACACTTTGGTATGACAATCTAATAGGTTTGGATGGAACTTGAGCATGCAATCCAACGACTGCGAAAATAGTAAAGAGTTTTAGTTCATATGACTACAACATATAACCGAGTAATAACTAAATTAAACCAAGAATATCAATTAATAACTCATTTAAAAGGAGGACTTAATAAATAAAGGGAAAGAGGTTCGGTCATAATCACTTCAAAAGCTAAGGCGTCAAATGTGTTGTTTAAGATAGACATTAGATGCCAAATTCAATATTACCAATTGTAGATGAATTAATGGCCTACCCTTTTAAAATATAATTGCTTCTAATGCTCCATGTTTAATGTTCCTCAATAGCCAAACATGATGAGAATCTAAAGTAGATAGTAGAACTAAAATCATAGGACCCCATAATTCTTGTAAATTTATGGCATGTCAGCAATAAAAGACATTGTAAAATATAGAGGACACTGCAACAAACATATATGTGCCAGAAATAAAGGTGCAAATGTGAAATGACCGGGTAACTTATCAAGTAGCTGCTCCAAATATACTACCCTGTCATGATGCCTTTCAAGTTGCGTGCATGCATAATTGTCTTCTAAAGCTATAACTCAATACAGATTCAACTGTAAAATTTATAAAACATGTAAAAAGTCCAATTTTTTCACGATATAAAAATCCCATAATCAACATGAACTTATCAAAAAGAATACAAGCTCACAGGATGCCGAAAACCACAGGTTGGATCAATACAATTCCCAGTAAACTAGTACCAGCAGTCTCTCAGATTGAGCCTGGCAATTTCACTATGTCGATACTCACATCCAATTCTCTGATTTAAAGAGAAACCAAACAAGAAGATCAAAAAAATTTTAGCCTTGGACCCTCTTTCACTTATATTCTGATGGACTGAATATCTTTCAAAAGGAGTACTAAAAGTTTTGATAAATAAGAAAGAAAGAAAATTAGATGGTTTTGGTTCAAAACTAACACTGAATATCTAGATCCTTGACATGCAGTTCCAGAAACTTAAAAATTTCAACAAAAAACACACAATGCGAGCTGAAAATGGGAAAGTGCAAAAGAGGAAAAACTTACTTCCGGATAGCCCAAAAGAGAAAATAAGTACCTTCTTGAAAGTGAGGGGAGACGATAAGAAATAAATGCAATCGGTGTTACGTTCCAGCAATTCTTCCTCCATTTTTTCTTTGTAAATAAAAGCTAAAAGACAGAGCACTGCTTGGGTTTACAATTTTACATGGCGAAAAACTGAAGAACAAAAACCAAACGAGAGTGCATGTGAGCGAAAGAGACTGAGAGGTGAAGGCGCTATTTTTGATTTCATTATATTTGATCATCTGTTGGAAAATCTTTAACCATAAGGATTAAACGAATAAATTATTATCTGTTATTTATACAAAATAATTCCAGCTTTGTTGGTGACTTTCAACAATGATACTTAGTTCATCTTAGTAGTATGTGTAAACTCTGCATTTCTAACCTCATTTTTTTCTCACAAGCTTTTCATTGAACATCTATGCTTCACCCAAGATGACCTGTATCTAACATTACACCTTGAATCGTTGATGGTCCTGGTAGTCCCTTGGTCGAGTCTTCTCTTAATGGACACTTATTCAAGATAACACCTCCGCAGAATTCAAAGTTAGATTAGAATTTCCCATGCATCCCCAACTAAAAAGTTACACTGGAAATGAGAAGAGAGAAGAGAGAAGAGAAAAAGGAAATTTGAGATCGAAAAGAAATTTGGGGTTTTGAATGAAATTAAGGACTGTGTTGTAAGTTTTAAAAGTTGGGGGGCCTAAATGCAAGTGTTTGAAAAGTTTAGTGACCATATTGCAAATGTACTAACGACAATGTAACGGAATCAAACGACCAGTTAGGTCGGGGACCATATTGCAAACGGACTAAATGTTGTAGGAATGTATTGTAAGTTTTAAAAGTTAGGGGACCTAAATGCAAGCTTTAGAAAAGTTAAGTGACCATTACTATACTTTACCCTAATTAATAATATCCTACTTTGAATGATCAAAAATGGAAATCATGCAAAATTAATTATCATAACCAAACAAAATAAAAAAAACATTTAAAACAATAAAAGTGACCACAACGATTACACAGCAAACCGAGAGGGGTCTAAAGTAAAAATCGTACATTTTGTAATATCTAATAAATGAATGACTAAAACATAACAAATCCAACATTAAAAACTCAAACCATGCATTTAACCCAAATATTTACATTAGACATATGATGACTAAAACATAAATATGAAACGTTTAAGATTCGAAATTAAAAATAACCCACTTTGCTTTGGGATCAAAACAGAGATATACAAAGGTAGGAGGACCTAATATGATATTAAACCAAAAATTTAAAGCAACAATAAAAATGAGAAAATAATAAAAAAAGGTCCTTCCAATGACCTCTTTGCAAAAATATGACAAAGTTCGGGGGACCTAAATGAAATTTCCCCCGAAACTTTACCTATATATACTACTTTAAGCTTTTTATATTTGAACCATTTTCCTTAAAAAAATCCTCTCTCATTTTTCTCTCAAAGCAATCGGTCGACCCACTGCCGACCGCCCTGAACCACCACCGGCCGCTGTACACGGTGGTAGAAAATCTCAAACTCTCCTAAAAAAACTCCTCTCACCCCGATCTAACACCCTAGCCCTAAATATAAGTCTAAAAACTAATGAAATACCCCAAAAACAAACCTAAAACACTCGACCTTTGGGACCTCCGGCCGCCGCGAAGCCCTTTTATGCCTAGGTAACTACGAAACTAACCCCTCTATTTTGATTTTTTAAACATGCAAGACTCGAAAATAAATAAATAAATAAAGGCTTTTATTTTATTATTTTTGTTTCGAAACACACAAAAACGAGATAAAAAATGATACCTTAAAGCTTTCTGATTTTATTTATTATTTTCGAAACTCAAACCCCAGGCCAAATAGCTTTTTTACAAGACAAGTTTGGGGTTTTATAACCCTGAATATTACATATTTTTTGCTCTTTTTTTTCCTATGAAAATGATTACAATACATGTGTTTGCGTGATTATTTGGTCTGGATTGTTTGTTGGTTCAATATGATTTTTCTGACATGGAAGAGGCTTGATTGGTGGCAACAATGGTGGTTGTCGGTTGGTGGAGTAAGGAGGTGGCAGCTGATTGGGCATATGTGGCGGTGGCAGGCTCGATTTGGATCGTTGGATGGGTTCAGATTGGACAGTTCTTGCGGGGCGGCGGCAGTAGCCATGGGAGGCTAGGGTTTGGAAACCGTAGCTACTACTAGGCCTACATTTGGGCTCCGAGTTTGGGTCTTGATAGGCTCCGGGTTTTTGAGTTGTTGTTGGGTTCTGGGTTTGGGTCAGATGACCTTTTTTAATTGGGCCCAACTTGGGCTATTGAAAAGCCTGAAAACACAAATAGAGATAATAATAATAACAAAATAATAATAATAATAATAATAATAATATGAAACTAAAACCGGGACAAAACGAGTGTCGACAATTCGTTTGTTGATCAAAGCTTCCGAAATTTCATATCTTTCGACCAATTACAATACCTTGAAATGATCATTGACAAACTTATGTGATGCACAAGAGCCAAATATGATATATGATAATCATATATGTTTACCTTACTAGCCTATGGATAACCATCATGATTGACACCAGTACTATGGGTCAAAATATAACACCCCACACATGGTTGGTAAAGAGATCCTGAATTCTTTCTCTCTTTCGATCTCTCTATACCATGTATTATCTTCATTAGCTCACTTGAATCATCGGCTGTGGTTCTCTGTCTAAACTATAAGGGATGAAATTGGTAATAGTTTATGAGTTGAGGACCTAATCGAAATTTAGGGTTCAGAAAGAGGCATGGTCACTCAATAATTTACCCAAAAATCATGGTTTGTAGGTACATGGTACAAAGAAATCAAATGGAAAGCCCCATTCAGTTATTATAACCCCCTAGAAACTGCGAATGTAGAAAGTATTAAAAAATTATAGATGAACATTTCCTCATGTGTAAGCTTTTGGGTTAAGATAATCCAACTGTTCAAGATAAGACATTCCCTACATCTTAATCTTTTATCATTCAGCTGAAGAATCTTGCATTATTTAAGGATTTCGGTTTAGATTTGTTGCTCAATGTTGTGAATCTGGTGCAACACTGCAGTAAAAAAAAACGGAAAAAAGAAAGTTGGAAGTCTGTCAGACAACTGCGTGACCATCCCAGCAAGACAAGGCAAGCAGAGAGCGATCCTCTGTGGCCAATGCAGTCCCTATATGCATGGACTGCAGACAAATAATCACGCTCTGATCACACAGCCTCGATTTATGAACCTGACTTAGAATTCTGTCTCTTTAGAAACACAAGGACACAGAGGTACGAGCCTATAGAACAGATCCTGTTCAAGTAAGATCATGTCCTAGAAACTCTTGGTTCTAAATTAAATATCATTCTTCTTTGTTTTCCCTTTCTCATGTGGGATTTTGTACAGGTTTTGACTAAACAGTCAGTGTTATTGAATAAAACAATATCAACTTAATCATATTAAAAATAGAGTAAACTACAAGGATAGTCTTTTATGTTTTCAGCCCGTCCGATTTTTTACTCATCAGATCAAAAAAAGAATGATTTTAGTTCATTACGTTATTGATACATTTGATGTTAATCCCTTAGCTGTTTAACTCCCGTTAATTTAAGTCCGATCCTTGGTTAATTTAAGTTGCGAGAGCTGTGAACCTGTAACACTCTCGACACAGTCGAGAGACCTGAACAAATTTCGAATACCTTTTGAGCTCTTGGCTTTAACAAAGAGCGTGTCTTTGGTGGAATAAAAGTCCAAACATTGCACAAGTGGCATTCACAATCGGTCCATCGAGTAATGGGGTACAAATGCTGCCCAAGCATCCTTCCTTGAAGGATTTGAAGTTTTTAACAATGGTGGAATTGATGATGTCGTCGATCTCACTGTTCCTTTCTTGAACTTGTGGTAAGATCTCGGCATCGAGCTTGAGCTTGTTAATGGCGAGCTTCGACATTTTGATTAGTTATGACAATTTAACCTGGATCCGACGGATCACGACCTGTTCTGATCCGATAGGAGCAAATATTTTCTTTTAAATTTTTGGTTCAAATAGGGTTGGGTCGGATTTGATATATAAGTTTTTCGAGTCCGGGTCAGATCGAGTTTGGAGTTAAAAATCACCAACTAGAATATTTTAATTATATTATATAGTTTAAATTGTTTACAAAAATGCCATTATATATATATAATACTTTAGGGTTTCTCCCATTCTATTTCTCTTCTTATCCGCATATTTTAGCTTCTCTCAAATTTTCTTCCTTTCCTCTCCTCTAAGTTTGTCTCTCCCCACTCAAATATTTGAGTATTAAAAAATTTTAACTTTGTTTTTTTTAAATTATCTAGATGATCAAACATTCTCCCCACTTAAACTTCCATTAATGAGTTAATGAAAATTAATGAGAGTTAATGGTAAAGGGATTAAATCAAACGGACCGATAACGTAAGAAATCAAAATAATTTTTTTAACTAATAACCAAAATCAGACTGACCATAAACATAAAAGACAAACCATGTTGTTTCTTTTATAATAAGTAAAAAAAACTGTGAAAGATGTTATCCTATCACGAATTAATCAACAAGATAATATTCTAGTAAGTTAAGAGACCTCGTTGTTAATTATCATAATAGAACAACATTATCTTATTTTTAAAAAAGAATGAATAACTTTTTCTATGAGAATACATGCAATGCAAAGAGAAAAACAATAAATAAAATAAACATGCTTATGAGCTAAATTTAAAAATATTAAAAGTCTAGGGCTAATTAAAATGTTAAAATAAGACTCCACTGCAAAAGAAAAAGCAAAGTAAGTTAGTTTAATTCAGTTTTAGTTATAAAATCAATTAGGTACATTTGATTTTGATGGATCAAATAAAATCTTTAGTTGTAAATGGAGTAATATTATTGCAAAACGGTAAAAATAGAATCGATCAAACCAATTTAATGCACACCCCCATCCCATGTAATTAAATAATTTTTAATTAGCACGAATAAAGCGATTTCAATAGTAAAAAAATTGTTATTATTCCTTAAAGTTTCGGGGTTGAGCACCATGAATGTTAAGGGTGTGAATGTTCAATATCAAATGGTTATGAATTATCTTTAAACATATATTGTTATGTATTTATCTTAGATTAATAAAAAAATTATTTTTTAATTAAATAATCGTAGCGTGTTTGGATAAAAACGTAATTTGTAGGTTAAATTAAATTTGGTGTAATTAGAGACGTCCAATCACGTTCTTCAATTCTTAGAGGGGTGAAAATTAGTTTAATTACGGAGTTGCATTCAATTTTTTTTTATAGATTCTTTTTGTTATCCTTTTGGTTACCAAGGTTTCGTCTTGACTAATTCGGATCGATTCGGGTGACACATTTGTGCTTTGGTGGGTGTCTCCCAGCGTAGATTTTCTGCGTACACAAGGGCTCGAACTCAAGACTTTATTTAAACTATATACAATAATTTTTTATATATAAAATAACGATAATCTTATGTACGCACATTTCTTTCCTTATAGCATTGATTTTATATATACAACATTTTCACTACAGTAAAACAAGTTTTTTGCGGCGTTTTTAAGCGCCGCTAAAAACACATGCGACGTTATGACAAATGCCGCAAAAAGCGCCACTGAAAATAGCGCCGCTAAAGTTAGCAGCATTTGTTGAACAAACGCCGCAATAGGTTACAACATATAGCGGCGTTTGTTCAACAAACGTCATAATAAGGTTTGTTATTTAGCGGCGTTTGTCAGAAAAATACCGCAGAAGGTTTTGATATTTTACGACGTTTTTCCCACAAACGTCGCAAAAGGTTTGATCTATAGTGGCGTTTTTGGAACAAACGCCGCTAATTATCGTTCTTGTTCTAAGATTAATTTATATTTTGCATATTTCATTTCTTCTCTACATCACCTAAATTTAATATCATGTAGCTTTATTTAATTAACATCAACCATAAATTTAAACAATAAAATTAATAAAAATTTATAAACATTAAAATTAAATGTAATGTAGTTTGACATTGTTCTCTAGAATATAGTTAAAATTAAAATTTATAAACATTAAAATTTAACTTCCACTTTCAATTAAAAAATTATTATTCACTAGAATTTAGTCTTCATTACTCCTTCGTTTGAGTCTACCCATTGCTTGTCACGCCATAAGCAAATATGGTGCCTGTGAACAAAATTTAACACTGTAAGGTAAAAGAACAAGTTTTGAGAAAATACAAATTAAACGGCATAAGGAGATTTTGGTCTTTGAACAAGAAATCATGGTGCTCAAAGGAGGAAATGTGTTACCTCCTCAAGGCTAGAACTTCATAATTTCTTCGCAGAAAATACAAATTAAACTGCTTGTCACGCTATAAGCAAATACGGTGCCTCTTGTGCATACTGTTTTCCAACAGTTCTCAATGATGCCGCATTTAGTAAGTTTTCTAGTGAGCCATTCTTTTTCAAAAGCTTTAAGGCAGTTCTCCGACCAAAACCAGGAACCAAATGTTGAATCCCAGGAACACCATCAACCTCATCACCCTTGATGCATCCTATAAAATTACTTAATGATTACTTATACACGTCATCCCAGAGGAGGACTAGAACACTAGGAAAACTGAGGACAAGAAAAGTCATGGAGCATTCTTTTACCAAAAATGAAAAATTAAGCTGGGAGAGCTGTATATTCTAATTATCAAACAAGTCCCTACATTCCTTTTTTTTACTTTTATATTAATGGAACTTCCACTTTAAGGGTCAATTCTAAAAAAAATCGTGTATTATAAATCTAAAAGGACATGGAGGAAAACCAAAATATTGTTTATTAGTTTCAAATTGCCATTGCACCTGCAACATAACTAGCACCTTCAACCGCTACTAGTACACACTACACACAGCGTTAGAATCTTAATGCACGACATTAAGTTTCTATTAAAAATTTACTAAAACTAACAAAAAGGAACTGCATAAAGGAACAAGTGGATATCGAAAGACACATACCTGTTTTACGAATAGAAACTTTATGCTTGTGAACATTGTCTGAAGTTCTTTCGAAGAATTTGGGGCTTCTCAGAGTGTACCTTGCGAGCATTGGATGCATGGAAACCGAGTCGCTTGTGTGCCATTACTACCTTGATTACCTTGAGCAAGAATTAACTCTGGGTACAACCAGACACTCGGACCCATCTTTGCTGACCATTCCTCCTTCAAGACATACGATGCTTCCAAGTTCTTCCCTGATGTAACTGGGTCATTTTCCGTTTCTTCCAGGCGTTTTTGAGATTAACATTGGTGATTTCATTCAGGATATGCACGTATAAACACAAGAACCTTTCTTTTTCTCCTAGTCTAGAATAACAAACTAGGTTTGTCTTTTCTCTGTTTTTACTACATGACCATCGTTTTAAGGATCCCGATTATAAAGTAGATGTAATTTAGCTACTAACATTCTATGATATCCAATCTTCTATTTATAATGTGCAGTTGCTCCTTTAATGGTGAATGTTGAATATACATGTTAATTAGAGAATCAAGTTTAAAGCAGTAACTGCAGAAAAACATACAGCAAACGCACCCAATATTGGATTATTATCAGAACTTTCAAACAGCTAATGATGTCTGATATAAATTGGGAAGGATAAAAGCTAGTGGTAAATGTTATTTCCACAAACTATGAAGAACAGAAGCAAAAACTCTTCACAAAATGTTTCTCAAGGATGCTCTATCTTCTATACCCCTACTTCATATATTCTTCTAGGGGACTGGAAGATAAATACGAGAAGCAAAAACCATAAAGCAATCTAAAAATCACAAACCACTCACAATATGTTACAGTGGGAGCTAATATTACTAATTCCAAGAGGTGACAAGCAATTGCAGCTAGCTTGTAGCCTTCGATTGCAAAATATGCACAAGAGACCATATGATGTCCATTCTATGCATAACTCTGTTGTTCTGTCCCTGCAATGTTTTCATAATCGGGTACTGGATTATAAAATGGGAAATAAAGTTGAAAGAGGATTAAAGTACTGAATTGTTGGGCACTTATAATGCAGTTTGCACATGCCTGGGGTTTCGGGCATGCAACTTATAATACATTCAATGTATAAATATCATAGATATCAAGAGGCATTGACACGTTTCGTTAGCATCCAACGGGTATGTTTTGGGCAGGCACATAACCGATGGATGACACAGCAACAAAGAAAAAACGACGCAACCCATGATGGACAAGATTAAAATATCATAAATCCTACCTCAACCACAAAACATATCCAAGTCTTCTCACCACGTGCTTTTGTAAACAAAGCTTACACTCGTAACTACCCAAAAGCATAAA